ATATGCTTCACTGATCCTGATGTCAGTTTCTGATCTCATGCTTGGGAAATTTTCAGCTATTACTTCTCTAAATATCCTCCTGACATCCTTCATGTTGTCTCCCTCTCTTTCATTAATCCCTATCATTCTTATGTTATTCTTCTTTGCATCGTCTTGCAGTTGTTGAATTGTTGTTTCCTGGTTCCTTGTTATTTTCAAAAGATCTTTCCTTTCCTGTTCACTAGCTGCAATCCTGTCTTCAAGGTCTGAAATTTTATCTTCACTTTCATTAAGGCGGTTTTTACAACTTTCAGTGGAGTTTTTTATTTCCTGTATATCTCTGTGCATCTGCATTATGTATTCTGTTTGTTTCTTATATTGCTCGTCTAGGGATTCTATCTTTTTGTTTAGTTCCTCCAATTTTTTATCTGTGTTTTCTTTAGATATATTTAGAATCTCTTTCATTTCTTTTATCATTTCTTCTTTTATCTGGGAGATTATTTCAAGTTTGAATTTCTTTAAAGCTTCCTGGAGTTGCTTGTCAATTTCAGTGGCTATTGTGTCCGATATATGAGGTGGATGGGATATATTTTCTTCTATATACATCGCTCCTAGGGTTTCTTGAGATGGGCTGGAGGTTTGACGTTGTAATTTGGTCTTTCGTTTTGTCATTTTCCTATATTTCTGTGTTTCAAGTGTTATTTGAAAGCTTCCTCAGGATCTGTTGAAAATCCCCTTCTATGTTTGGAGCTACTGGGACTCTGGCGCCGCGCTACCCCAAGCCATTAGGCCTACAGAACCAGTGGCCCTCCTCTGCCAGCTCAGAACTCCGCAGTTCCAGACAAGCTGGGCCTCAGGGACACTGTGCGCCCACCTGCCCCTTGGAAGCTCCACAGTTCTTCAATCGCAGCCAGGTTAGGGTACTCACCACAGGCCGCAGTGCTTCAGGAACCTGTGGACCCTCCCTGGTTGCAGAGATATCCACAGTCCTCCAGACACGCAGAGAGGCCAGTGAGGGCACCCCAGATCTGCCCAGCTCCTCCTCTGCAGACCTATGGCCAGGCGCGGCAGCTAAACAGGCTGGGCTAGGCTGGTAGTGTGGGCCAGCCCACCTATCGGGAGCTCAGCAGGTCTCCAAATGAAGCCGGGAATGGGGAGGCTGATGTGGAAGCCTCAAACCCACCTCTCTCCTTCACTGCACCTGGAAGCCTGAGGGAACCCCAGCAGTCTGGGCGCAGAAATCCAGAGTCCTCCAGACACGCAGAGAGGCCAGTGAGGGCACCCCAGATCTGCCCAGCTCCTCCTCTGCAGACCTATGGCCAGGCGCGGCAGCTAAACAGGCTGGGCTAGGCTGGTAGTGTGGGCCAGCCCACCTATCGGGAGCTCAGCAGGTCTCCAAATGAAGCCGGGAATGGGGAGGCTGATGTGGAAGCCTCAAACCCACCTCTCTCCTTCACTGCACCTGGAAGCCTGAGGGAACTCCAGCAGTCTGGGCGCAGAAATCCAGAGTCCTCCAGACACGCAGAGAGGCCAGTGAGGGCACCCCAGATCTGCCCAGCTCCTCCTCTGCAGACCTATGGCCAGGCGCGGCAGCTAAACAGGCTTCCAAGTCACAATATTGAGCCTTCCTTGGCCACTCAGTTTAGAATTGTTGGCAAGCCTTCCTTCCTCTGATGTGTCTTTTCTCTAAGGGAATTCATCTTTGAAATCAGCCAAATTGGAATCATAATGTCCTAAATTTTTCTGCTTAGTGGATACTGATTCTAAAATGTAATTTTTTTTTTTTACTTTTAGAGACAGGGTCTCACTGTGTAGTCTCACTATGCTACCCTTGAACTTACTGTGTAGCCCAGGCTGGCCTTGAACTCGTGGGTATCCTCCTGCCTCTGCCTACTGAGTGCTGGTGTTACAGGCATGTGCCACCATACAGAACTTCTTTAATAACCTATAATACCAGCAGTTCATTTCTCCTATCTATCATATATGTTTTTTGCTATACATTGTCATGAATTGCAAAAGCCAATCTTTGAATATTGTTGTACAGTTTTTATTTTAATTATCAAGGCTGCAGTTCTCAAATGTGTTTTTACATTGATGGTTTATATGGAGGCTAAAGAGTTAAAGATTGAGTAGGTAATTTAATAACTATACAAGAAGTCAAAGCTTAAATGGATTTGAGATTTAATGTTGATATTTTGGTATAATATTTTTAAAATATGAAGTGCCAAAAATAATTATTTGGCTCACAGTTTTAGAGACTTTGTCCATTGATCATTATGGGCTCAAGATAAGACAAGCTTAGCAGAAAAACAGAATAAGCCAAGAGTAACTCTCATGCACCCAAGAGTTTTACCTGTTTACAGGTAGGAAATAGGAAATTATTCTGTTTTCATCTTGTTAAGGCTAAGTTACTTTCATTTCTTTTTTTATCAAAAAAATTTTTTTTATTTTGAAAGTAGTAAAATACAACAGAACAAGACAGAATAAAGCCAACTGAGACCATGTAGTGAAATTGGTACAGAACTTCTCAGCAGGTTAGCGGGATAACAGTAATAAGTATCATAGTATATTTCATTATCTTTACAATAGTTGTTCTTTCAATCATGTATATCAAAATAAAATGAAATGTAGAACATTATAGAACTTCTCAAAACAAAATATTGAATAGAGCAGTATCATTAATCAGAATAAAGCAAAACAGTAATAAAAATATTTGCCTTCAAAGAGGTGGTAGAAGGAAGTCCCCCTTATTTGCTATGGTCAACCTCCCAGGAGATGCTCAGATTTCTGATTCCTATTTGCTAACAGGGGGACAGGGGAAGGAGGGATGGAGAAGTGGGATGTTTGACTCTAAGCCGTGCACCTGTAGGTTCACTATTGCTTAGCAGGGAGGCAGGCTGGTTGCTTGGTTTCCCAGCATCCTAAGTTCCAACATGGCGTGGATCTCAGGAGACACTGGTGGTTCTCGCCCTGGAAGGGCCAGTTACTTTCATTTCTATTTATAGGCAAAATTATCAACATTGCATCCAGTAATCAGTCCTTGCAAGTAAAAAATTTTCATTTAAAATACATTAAGATTTTATGAGGTCTAGCATTTTATAACATTACAAATGAATTGTACATTTTACTAAATACTTGTTTTATATTTATTTGTTTGAAGTACTTTTTCTTTCAAGTCTTCTTCTTGAATTGTGCTCTGAGATGTAGCATAACAGGAGTTAGATTTATTACTGGTTTTATATTTTAAAGTTACTGTTTGTGATTTTAAGTTTATACATGCAATATTTAATAGGTTAATGATAAATTTTCTTCAGTGAACACATTAAGAAACATCTACAAGTTTAAATATTTACAGGTACCTTTTTCCTTTACCAAAGAAATTTTTTTTTTGTCTTTTTCATTTTTATCGGTACCAGGGATCGAACTCACGACTGCCTGCTTACAAAGCAGGCACTCATGCCGCTGAGCTAAATCCCCAGCCCCCAAAGAAAATTTTTTTAAAAGTTGGAATTACAGTAGATGTTTTACATAGATACACTGAAGTGCACATAATCTTAGGTGAATCATTACAAGTGTTCATTGGTTATGTTAAAGAAGCTTATGTTTATAAATTACTACTTAAGTTTTCTGTACATTTTCTTGGGCTGCATCTGCCAAATTGAAAAAAAATTAGCATTTTGGAAGCATAAGTTACTTTCTTAGTAATATTTACCCTGTTTTAATCTATTTGCATATGGATAATATTAGTTGAGATACGGACTATAGTATAAATTCCTTCTTTTCTTTCACATATTTTAAATTTTTCTTGGGATAGTTGAGTGTAGTGCTGTTCTGTGTTTTAAATTCTAATATTCCTGGTAATTGAAAGAAAAAAGCAAATACCTTTCCTCAATATGTATGAGTGCTGGGCTTCAGTCGTAGGCACAGTACATTAGAGGCAGGGGCTTACATGTTTTGCAGTGTATCTGAAAGCCCTTCTTCCTTTTTTGCAGTGCTAGGGATTAAAACTGGAGCCCACATACTAGGCAAGAGCTTTACTACTGAGCTGTACCCGCAAGCCCTCAAAACTCCTTTTTGTGTTTTCCTTTATAGAAAAGTAGGAGGTAGGGGGTAGAGAAGTTCACCATAAGACAAAAACCTCTACAATTAGATTAATGGTTTATCTTATGCTGAGGGCAGAAGCGGTTTATCGTTTCACTAAAGATGAAAAAGACAGACAAGCTGGGTGTGATGATGCCTGCCCGTCATCTGAGCATGGAAGCAGGAGGATGGTGAGTTTGAGGCTGGCATGAGCTGAAGGGCAGCCTGGGGCAGGAGCAAGATGCTATCCCACATAAGTGAGTGAGTGAGTGCATGAATCTCTGCCTCAGAGGTCACAGAAAGTTGCAGTGTTTCTAAAAGTATTATTTTTGAAGGCCCTTTCCTGTGTGTTAAGAGTATTCTAGCACAATAGAGAAGTAAAAGTACAAAATGAACAGGTTTATTGAGCTGAGGATATGGAAAGGAACACATGACCCATGGCAGCTGGGCTGTCTCCTTCAACCAGATAGAGAGAGGCAGAGGGTTATATGACCTCTGATTGAAGTGGCACATGGGGCAGATATTGATGACGTGAGAGGAACCAATTAGAATTCTCTGTGCGTGCAAACAGGAAGGGGAGTTGCAGTTAGGGCTGAAGAAGAAGAAGCAGAAAGTTCCTATTTTGGCCTTCTGCCATGTTAGACCACCACCATGAATGTACAATAATTTATACTCAAGCAAAAACCTTTCACTCTGTACACCCAGCACAGGCTGAGAGAACCAAGAGATCTGCCTCTGCCTGTCAGATGCCACCAATGGAAGGCCCTTTCCTCGGCATGCCCAATGCAGGTCAAGAGAACCAGGAGATCTGCCTCTGCCTGCAGGGTGCTGCCAATGGAAGGACCTTTCCTCTGTGTGCCCAGCACAGGCTGAGAGAACCAGGAGATTGGCTCTGCCTGCTGAATGCCACCACCAGAAGGCCCTTTCTTCTATGTACCCAGTGCAGGTTGAGGGAGACAGACAGATCTACCTCTGGCTGCTGTGCACTGTCACCAAAAGGCCACATCCTGCAGACAGCCAGCGTGGGCAGAGAGAACCAGCAGATCCACCTTCCCCTTCAGGAAGCTGACACCAGAAGGCTTCTTCCTGCAGGTAGCCAGTGGGAGCAGGAACCCACAGCCAGGTAAGCCCTGTGCATCTGTAGACCACCTTTGGAGGCCTTTTTTTCCCCTCAAGTAGCCATCACACTGGCAGAATCAGACAAACACACCCTTGTGTGTCTGCCATCATTGTGGGAGTCCCAGTGTAGACACACAGGCTGAGAGAAGCAGCCCCAACTACATGCACCCCTGATCATCAGTGAAGCCCCAGTGTAGCTGCATATGTCTGGAGAAGCCCACTCTACCTCTTCTGTCTCCCTGTAAATCTGGAATTAGAGGATCCCAGGTGCCTGTCCCATCCCCCTACACTGCCTAGGGAGCCAATGCAGGAATTGCCTGGGGCCCCACAACCAGCTTGTTGGGAGGAATCCAGGAGAATGTTGAGATGGAGGAGCAAAAGGCAAACTGAGACCTCTAGTCCACAGACAATAAGCCTGGCAGATACGGTCATGGAAGAAACTGGAAGTCACATACCTGAAATCTCTGAGAGCATAGCAACTAAAGTAAGGAAACAACTTCATGAGATGGTAAAAGCAGTCAAATCAGAAATAAAGTCTCAGGTAAAAGAAGAAATCAGAAACATACCAAAAGAATTGTTCAACAGGTCTAAAAAAAAAGACATAGACAAAAAAGGAGCATAGGAAAATGATGGAAACCTTGAATGAATGGAGAAAGGAATTATAATGCATGAAACGGATTCAAAGAGAGATCTAGGAAATTAAAAATTCAATTGAAAGCTGACAAAACTGCTTGAAAGAGACTGAGGATAGACTTTCAAACCTTGAAGATAGTATTGCAGCTAGTAATCATGAAAAGAAAGATCTATTAAAAATAACATGGAATCAGGAAATAACAACTCAATGGCTGCAAGATGATGCAAAGAAGCACAACTTAAGAGTGATAGGTGTAGATGAAGACGCAGGGGTCAACACAAATAAAGGATATTCACAGACATAATAGAAGGAAACTTCCAAAACATGGGAAATGGATTTGGTATGCAGATAACTGAGGCATATAGGGCTCCAACTAGCCATAACCAAAGTAAATCTATACCCAGACAAATAATCAAATTACCCAGAAATTTCTATTCCCAGAAATTCAGCACAATAAAAGAATATTAAAAGCTATTAGAGAAAAGAGACAGATCACCTATAAAGGAAAATCAGAATCATAGCAGACTTATCAACACAAACTGTCAAGTCAAGAAGAATTTGGAATGGAGTGTTTCAAACTCTGAAAGAAAACAACTTCCAACCCAGATTGATGTATCCACAAAACTATCTTTCAAAATTGATGGAAAAATAAGATACTTCCATGATAAAGAACAACTAAAGGAATTCATGACTACCAAACCAACCCTACAGAGAGTGCTAAAGGATATTTAGAGAGAGATAAAGATGGTCATGGTTCCAGGAACAGCAGCAGAGGAGGATCGCCAAACAAGACAGGAAATTGAATGAAGGGGAAAAGTGGAGGACCAACAACAGGAGGATAGCAGGGCAGAGACAAACCAATGTATGCTGGTTGTAACCATTAATGTAGATGGCCTTAGGTCAGCAATAAAAAGAAATACAGGGAGAGTGGATCAGGAAACAAGATCCATCGATATACTGTGTACAAGAAACTCATCTAACTGGGAAGGAAATTCATAGACTGAAAATCAAAGATTGTTCCATGTGACAGGAGACAAAAAAAAAAACAAAAAACAAACAAACAAAAAAAAAAAAACAAGAGTAACTTGCCTATCAACTGCAGAATGGATAAGAAATATATGATATTTTCATGCAGTGGAAAGCTACCCAGCTATAAAGTAGAATAATCTCAAGGCTCCTGTAAGTAAATGGACACAACTGGAGATCATATTCATGGCTGAAACAGTTGGAACTCATATGTGTGAACACTAGCACAAGAAACAAGGAGTTCATGGGATCCAAGAGCAAAATAGTTTATGTAAGTGCAAAGGGGAGGAAATATCTTGGAGGGAAAGGTGGAAACTACTCTCAATTTCGTCTTGTCTTAAACTTTTGTATTGTTTACACAATTATTTTAGGTTTAGCTTCATTCTGTGGGTTTTTTTTTTTTTTTTTTTGTGCTGAAGATTGAACTCACAACCTTGAGTTTTCCAGGGAGACACTTAGGCCACTGAGGTAAACTCCCAGCCCCTTTGTTCTGTCTTGTTTTGTTAGATATTACCCTTTGGATGGTAGGGGCAGCTATTTTGAATATAATGGGATGTATTATGGTAATCATGGTTTCCTATTATTTTTTTTAATTTTTTTTATTTAAGGAGAAAAAGAAAAAAATAGAAAAAGGGTACAAGTTATACAGAATTTCAGAAAACATAAACAGTAGGAAATCACTATTTAATAGATTACATATTGTTATCTTAGAAATAGTTGCTCAAGTTACAAAATTAAAGCATATAAAGTGGATTTCCAAACAGTGAGACTGGAAACAGTTTTGTTCAATGATCCAACAAAACTCAGTAATATGGTTATCTATCTTATACACTTAAATATATATGCAATTATATTCTTTAGAGCACTTCCTTTTCCTTTCTTTTGTACAATGACAATTACACATTTTGGGTTTTATTACTCCCACAGTTCTTATTACTTTTTTTTGAAGACAGTAAAACCAAATGTGCCATAACAGAACAGAGTCAGTTAAATCAAAAGGATGGACATAATAGATAATGTAAAAACAAAATACTAGGTGATCAACAGTGGTTACTATACTGCCTCTTGCTATCTTAAAAAGAATTGCCTATATCATCAGTTATAATAAAATTGAACAAAACAGTAAAGAATAAAACCAAAACATTGGAGACATTACAGGACTTTAAAAGAAGATAATAGTCAACCGGAATGGGGGTCATAATGAATCTTATTGTCTTCACAGTTTTGCCTATACTTTCAAACTTGATACTATCAAGCAAAGCAGAATAGAGGAAAATCAGTCAAAGCAAGATGGTGAGGGCTATACAGGGTTTCAAATCAAGTTAATAGGAAATCAAAATGGGTTACTATAATGTATCCTGCTTTTTTATTTTTCCCTTAATTAAAAAGATAAAAATAAAAAAGTAAATAATTTTCTAAAAAGGAGATTGAGATAAAAGAGGGCATAACAATAAACCAAAGCATAACCATTTAAGCAAAATAGTGTTTTACCACAAGATATCCTGACATAAAAGTAGGTACCATAGTGTCTCTTTGAAATCTTTGAGTATAACTTCGTATACTGTAGCACCAAACATATCAAGACAATGTAAAACCATTCAAGAGAATGACAATATTACAGGGTATTTAGAACCAACTAACAGAAAATGAACAATGGTTTCTGTATTATCTCCTTGTCTATAAAAGTTTTTGTTTATATTATCACATATAATAAAATCCAATAAGACACAACCTGTTAAGACCGATGGAGACAGAAGAATAAAAGCTTGATGGGACTTCAAAGCAAGATGATACTAAATCAGCACTAGCTATTATGATGTCTTGTTTTCTCCAAAATGGTTGTTCCTACCATCCAACCTTCTCTGCCTCATTTCTGTTGAGCTCTTTTTCTGTTGTTTGTTGTCAGTTTGTCTTCTTCATTTCACTTTCTGCTCCATTCATTGTGGCCTCTCTGCCACTGTTTCTGAAGTCTTGGTATTTTCCTTTTTTAGAATATCCTAGGGGCTGGGGATTTAGCTCAGAGGCATAAGCACCTGCCTTGCAAGCAGGCAGTCATGAGTTCAATCCCTGGTAACGATAAAAAGGAAAAAGACAAAAAAAAAAAAAAAAAAAAAAAAGAATATCCTGCAGTATTCTCTGTAGAGTTGAATTGGTGGTTGCAAATTCCCCTAGTTCCTCTTTATCCTGGAAGCACCGTTTTTCCATCAATTTCTAGGGACAGTTGTGCAGGATATATCAATCTTGGCTGGAGGTTATTATCTTTCAAAGCTTGAATTATTTCCCCTCATGCTCTTCATGATTTGATGGTTTGTGCCGAGAAGTTTGCTGTAATTCTGATGCGTTCCCTTGTTTTTTTTTTTTATAGATTTTTTTTAATTTAAGGAGAAAAGAAAAAAAACAGTGAAGGGGTACAAGTTATACAGATTTACAGAAGAAAAAAATGTGCAGTAGGAAATCACTAGTTAATGGATTACATATTGCCATCTTAGAAATAATTGTTCAAGTCACAAAATTAAAGCTTGTAGAGTGGACATTCCAACAATGATACTGCAAACAGTTCCGTTCAATGATCCAATAAAACTCTGTGATATCATTTTCTGTCTTATACACTTAAATATACATGCAGTTATATAGTTTAGAGCACTTTCTTTTCCTCTCTTTTGTACAATGACTATTACACATTTTGGGTTTCATTGCTCCCCCGGTTCTTATTGCTTTTTTGGAAGAGAGTAAAACCAAATGTGACATAACAGAACAGAATCCGTCAAGTCAAAAGGGTGGACATAATAGATAATATAAAAACATAATACAAGGTGATCAACAATGGTTACCATAATGCCTCCCGCTATCTCTAATAGAATTGCCTATATCATTAGTTGTAATACAATTGAACAAAACAGTAAAGAACAAAACCGACAAAACCAAAACATTGGAGACATTGTAGGTCTTCAAAAGTAGATAAAAGTCAATGAGAATGGGCGTTATAATGAATCTCATTATCTTCTCAGCTGATGCCTAAACTTTCGAACCTGATACTATCCAGTAAAACAGAATAGAGGAACCTCAGTCAAAAACAAGATGGTGAGAGTAATACAGGGCTTCAAATCGAGATAATAGAAAGTCAAAGTGGGTTACTATATTACATCCTGCTATTTTTTTCCCTTTAATTAAACGGATAAAAATGAAAAAGTAAATAATGGAGTGGAGATTGAGAAAAAAAGAGGGCATAACAGCGAAACAGGGCAGATCAAAACATAACCATTTAAGCAGAATAGTGTTTCACCACCAGATAATTCCGACCCAAAAGTAGTTACCATATTGACTCTTTCCTTGAAGTCCTTGAA